CTTCGGCACTACTTCGGGCTAGTGGACCCATCACCACTGTCCGGGCACGACACACGTCCGGCTACGGCAAACGAAGGCATTCGACGAACTTGGGCATTTAACGATTCTACGGAAGTTACGCACATGCCTCTTAGGGCGCATTACGGGAGTCCGGCTACGGCAAACGAAGGCCTCCTACTTCTCCTTCCACGGGACTTTACGCACGTGGTGCCTCGTAAGGCGCAGTGCGGGAGTCCGGCTACGGCAAACGGAAGGCCGTCGACGAATCGACGCCACTTACCGCACGGCAGCAGGAGTACCGGCTGTCGCCGTCGCTTGCTGTGCTGTCGTCGTCGTCGTCGTCGTCGTCGTCGTCGTCGCCCGACACTTCCTGTCCGCCGCGCCACCGGGCCGTCCGTCCGTACGTCCGGCCGCTCTCTCTTTCAGTCTTTAGCAGACGAATGCGGTTCGTGTAACAACCTTTTTTTTTGCAAAATTTCATACTGTCCGATACAGAAACTATACAAGAAGCTTAGAAATCACATAGAAACAACAATCAATAGGTTCAGTTTGATATTCGAATTTTATTTTTTGAATTTTTCCCAAAAAAACCGAAAATCGTAACTTCGTCCGAAAAGTAATTTCGCCGATCGCTGCCGAGGCGGGCGACGCGCGTCCGGCTACGGCAAACGAAGGCCTCCTTCTAAGGAACTACGCACTTACCTTCTAAGGCGCATTACGGGAGTCCGGCTACGGTGAACGAAGGGGGGCCGCCTTCTACGCACATGCCTCTTAAGGCGCAGTACGGGAGTCCGGCTACGGCAGACGAAGGCCTTCGACAAAAACGCACTTTACGCACTTACCTTCTGAGGCGCCTGACGGGAGTCCGGCTGCGGTAAACGAAGGCCACCGACGCACTTAGGCACTACTACTGCTGCTACAATTTCGGGCTAGTGGTCCCATCACCACTGTCCAGGCAGGCACGACACGCGTCCGGCTACGGCAAACGAAGGCATTCGACGAACTTGGGCATTTAACGATTCTACGGGACTTACGCACGGAGCAAGCTATCAGCTCGCTTGCGGCAGTCGGAAAGCGAACGAAAGAACGCGCGCTTCGTCATCATCGCTTTGCTGTTCGGACACTTGCGAGATGACGAGGCATCTGCTCACAACTTAAGTCAGTAACAGTTACATCCGCCGTTTACCCGACTTTGGTCGGTCGGTCGGTTCATTTGAGAAAATCTCGTGCTAGGCAGTGCGGAGACGACACGACGGCAACGACTCTACAAGGACTTAGGCACATGCCTCTTAAGGCGCATTACGGGAGTCCGGCTACGGTGAACGAAAGGGGCCGCCTTCTACGGGACTTACGCACATGCCTCTTAAGGCGCAGTACGGGAGTCCGGCTACTACGGCAAACGAAGGCCTTCGACAAAACTACGCACTTTACGCACTTACCTTCTGAGGCGCATGACGGGAGTCCGGCTACGGTAAACGAAGGCCACCGACGCAGCACTTCGGCACTACTTCGGGCTAGTGGACCCATCACCACTGTCCGGGCACGACACACGTCCGGCTACGGCAAACGAAGGCATTCGACGAACTTGGGCATTTAACGATTCTACGGAAGTTACGCACATGCCTCTTAGGGCGCATTACGGGAGTCCGGCTACGGCAAACGAAGGCCTCCTACTTCTCCTTCCACGGGACTTTACGCACGTGGTGCCTCGTAAGGCGCAGTGCGGGAGTCCGGCTACGGCAAACGGAAGGCCGTCGACGAATCGACGCCACTTACCGCACGGCAGCAGGAGTACCGGCTGTCGCCGTCGCTTGCTGTGCTGTCGTCGTCGTCGTCGTCGTCGTCGTCGTCGCCCGACACTTCCTGTCCGCCGCGCCACCGGGCCGTCCGTCCGTCCGTCCGTCCGGCCGCTCTCTCTTTCAGTCTTTAGCAGACGAATGCGGTTCGTGTAACAACCTTTGCTTTTTTGCAAAATTTCATACTGTCCGATACAGAAACTATACAAGAAGCTTAGAAATCACATAGAAACAACAATCAATAGGTTCAGTTTGATATTCGAATTTTATTTTTTGAATTTTTCCCAAAAAAACCGAAAATCGTAACTTCGTCCGAAAAGTAATTTCGCCGATCGCTGCCGAGGCGGGCGACGCGCGTCCGGCTACGGCAAACGAAGGCCTCCTTCTAAGGAACTACGCACTTACCTTCTAAGGCGCATTACGGCAGTCCGGCTACGGTGAACGAAGGGGGGGCCGCCTTCTACGCACATGCCTCTTAAGGCGCAGTACGGGAGTCCGGCTACGGCAGACGAAGGCCTTCGACAAAACTACGCACTTTACGCACTTACCTTCTGAGGCGCCTGACGGGAGTCCGGCTGCGGTAAACGAAGGCCACCGACGCACTGTTAGGCACTACTACTGCTGCTACAATTTCGGGCTAGTGGTCCCATCACCACTGTCCAGGCAGGCACGACACGCGTCCGGCTACGGCAAACGAAGGCATTCGACGAACTTGGGCATTTAACGATTCTACGGGACTTACGCACGGAGCAAGCTATCAGCTCGCTTGCGGCAGTCGGAAAGCGAACGAAAGAACGCGCGCTTCGTCATCATCGCTTTGCTGTTCGGACACTTGCGAGATGACGAGGCATCTGCTCACAACTTAAGTCAGTAACAGTTACATCCGCCGTTTACCCGACTTTGGTCGGTCGGTCGGTTCATTTGAGAAAATCTCGTGCTAGGCAGTGCGGAAAGTGTGCAGAAAGGTCGGCAACGACACAGGAAGCTCAATCGACGATTTCAATTGAGTTTTCGAATCTCATTTCTCGCGACAATTCACGTGCAGAGTTTTAGCTCTGTCGCCCGCCGACGGACTTATGCACTTAACTTAAAAGGCGCATCCAGGGAGGTAGGCTTGCATAGAAGCGTCGTTCAACCGCGTGTGGACGATCGTGTTGAACCAGCACGAGCAAGCGGACCGTTCCGGCGCGCAAGTTTTGTCGTCGGTACACAAACCGTCCACGTATTTGTTGAAACGGAACGATGATAAAAAATAAAACCGATATTGTCATACGAACGAACGAACGAACGAACGAACGAACGAAACTTCGGAACACGTTGGTGTTGTTCTTTTGAACGAAGTCAGCGTCGTCCCTCGCGGAGGACGAATCGAGTCGGTCGAGGGCTTAGTCTCAATAGATCGCAGTGTGGTGGCTGCTCTACTAAGTACGACACCCCGAGCCTGAAGTCAAGTGGTCTACGAGCGATCCCTCGTCTCACGCTCCACGGGGGGTTCGAAATTCGACGGCGACGGCAAAATCCCGCCTGTCGCGGATGTCAAATCAGGTGGCCCGTTCGCGGACGCCGCCGCGTGCGAGGCGACAACAGCCGAAGTAGCGGACGCGCACGGCGACGACGAGCGCCACCGACGCGGACCACGACGACCGCGACCGCCCCTAGCGACGACGACGCCCGCTATGGCAGGCTCCAGCGGAACGAAAGAGACGCCTTTCGTAATACCGTGACGGCACCGGTCGCGGTTCCGGCTTAGAGGCTTTCAGCCGTTATCGCGCGGAGGCAGCGTGGCACCGCCGCTCGTTCGAGCGAGCACGCGAACCGTTGCTCCGATCCCGCGGTTCCTCTCGTACTGGACGGGATAGCCGTGGCCACGGCCGACGTAACACACGTGCCGATCGGTAGGATAAAACTAACCTGTCTCACGACGGTCTAAACCCAGCTCACGTTCCCTGTCAGTGGGTGAACAATCCAACGCTTGGCGAATTCTGCTTCGCAATGATAGGAAGAGCCGACATCGAAGGATCAAAAGCGACGTCGCTACGAACGCTTGGCCGCCACAAGCCAGTTATCCCTGTGGTAACTTTTCTGACACCTCTCGGCGGAACGGAGCTCTCCGCTCGGAAAGGATCGATGGGCCACGCTTTCGCGGTCCGTATTCGTACTGAAAATCGAGATCGAGCGAGCTTTTGCCCTTTTGCTCTACGCGAGGTTTCCGTCCTCGCTGAGCTCGCCTTTGGGACACCTGCGTTACCGTTTGACAGACGTACCGCCCCAGTCAAACTCCCCGCCCGGCACGGTCCCCGGCTAAGGGTCGAGCGCGGGCCCCAATCGGGGGAGCCCGCGCCCTTGGCGCTAGCAAGAGGGCCGCCGAGCGACCCGTCCCCTTTTTCACCGGGTGAGCGAGGAAACGACGGAAGTGGCGGTATTTCAGGTTCGACGACACCGAACGACGCCGGTCACGGCGAAGGCCGGAAAACCGGGACGAACGAAACGCCGGCCCACCGAGGAGGCGGAGGCCCCGCCCGACGGAGAAGAACGGAAGCGGGAGGCGGAGAGTGAACGACGACGACGACGACGAGAGGCGAACCCCCCACCGCCGGCCACCGCAAACCCCCGTCCCCGCGACCGCATCCGCTACCGCCGAACGAAACCGACCTCCACGGCAACCGACGGCCGCCGCCCGGCCCCGATCGACGCGCTCCCGACGCCGACAAAGGCGTGTCTCCCGCCTATGCTACACCTCCCGTGTCTCCTCACAGAGTCGGACTAGAGTCAAGCTCAACAGGGTCTTCTTTCCCCGCCGATCGTTCCAAGCCCGTTCCCTTGGCTGTGGTTTCGCTAGATAGTAGGTAGGGACAGTGGGAATCTCGTTGATCCGTTCATGCGCGTCACTAATTAGATGACGAGGCATTTGGCTAACTCACAACCACCCGCGCCCACCGGCCTAGGACGTGTTAGGTCGGTACACCCTCTCAGCCTACCTAAGGGGTGCCGTTACTCCCCAAAGGCGTTTCCCAAATGCCACCTCGAGGAGGTGGGGTGCGTATTTCAGCGTCATCTCGGGCGGGGGGTAGGATAATTCCCTTTAACCTAAGAAGGTTAGGTGAGTTAGTCCCTTGCCGATCAGGAAGTTCCTTCTGGCGCCGGCGCGGAGTATGCTACACACCTTTCTATCTTTGTCTCCGCTTTGTCAGGCAGTTCATGGGGCTACTCAGCGCAGTCCATGAGTACCTCAGCCGACGCTGTCGGGCGTGTCGCCCCGTCCGCGGGCGCGTGCCAATATGCCCATAGCATGCGCGCGGTATCACGTAAGATCATCCTAGAGATTGGACCGAAGTGCCGCCACCTTAATAGTTTGTTTGTGATGCAATCCTGGTAGGACTGCTGTGCAGCCGCCCCGCGCCAATTGTAGGTGAGAGCAATGACCTTGATGGGCAGGCCATGCCCGAAGCGGTCTCGGATCGCGTCAAGAACGTACGGCTGATTGTACTTCGCGATCTTTTCCCTGTTGCATGCATCCAGAGTGCATACGACAGAGTCAGGTCGTATCTGTACATCCAGGACAATTATTTCCTTCTTGGCCAGGATCACAAGGTCGGGCTTACGGAGGCCGCGCTCAGTCTGAAGCCTAGGTTCCATGATTACGTCGTATTTCTTTTCTTTCAGGATCTGTGCCACGTATAGGACGACGTTGTTGTGGCGTTTTATCCGGAGACCGCTAACGATGCTGCAGGCTTGGGCTATGTGGGGCAGGCTCATACGAGCATTGCTCCCGCATTTGCAGATGGTATCGACAGAACGACCACCCCGGCTGAGCCGGGATGGCGTGCCCATACAGCCTAGGCGCACCCTAATGGCCTCCTGGAAATCGTGTCCGGCCAAGTTGGTGGGGGCATGGTCCAGCCAGCTGTTGACAGCTGGTACCTTCTCATACCCCTGTAGGCCCCTGGTGTCCAATCTCCTGTGGAGATCTTCGACCAGACCCTCTCGGGATGACATTACAGATCCTCTGAATTTGTAGGACATCAGACCTCGCACGGCGGGATTAGATGCTATCGCGGCATCTTCCTCATCACCATACGACAACTGGGTTAGGCGGCTTTCTTTTAATGTCGAGTATAAGGTCTCTAGAGAGTTCACCCCCAAACCGCCGAATCTCGCGGGAGTGTGTATCGCGGAATTGGGACAATCCGCCGGTAGCCGGAGCCACCTGCGGACGACCCGACGAACTGCTTTGTCCCCTTTGACGAGCTCGCCCTTATGTAGTCGGCCGAATGTTAGCTGGTGTTGCAGTCGCGGGAGCAAGAATTTTTTAAGGACTATCAGCTTTTGTTGCGGTTTTAGAGCAGCGCGATTGAGACGGACCAGTAGTTTTTCAAGGTCGAGCGGCGTACGGGCCACGCCCTTCCAATTGAACTGGACTCCGAGGTACCGAAATTCGGACACGGCAGTCACAACTGGTAGACGGGTACCATCGACGGATATCGACACATCCGTATCAACAAAGCTAAATTTCCTCTTCTTATCCCCGCGAATGGAGAGCACACAGCATTTTCGGGCGTTAAGCTCAAGTCCAAGGCGGCCGAGGCCGATAGTCAGTCGCTCGATCCGTTTTTGCATTTCTTCCTGGGAGCTGGCGAATAGTATTAGATCATCAGCATACGCCATCTGATTGAGTACTATCGCGCCGATGGTAATGGCGTACTCCTCCTGTCCCTCAAGTATCTGATCCAGGGCTAGGTTGAATAGCCAGGGGGACATAGGGTCCCCCTGCTTAACCCCACGATGTTTCGGGTGGATCAAGTCTTTTCCAATCTGTAGTCTGCTCGTGCTGAAATAGGTTCGCAGATACCCCATAAGGAGGTCGGGGACCCCCTTCCGTTGGAGTATGCCCAGTATCGCTTCGTGCGATATCGAATCGAATGCCTTGCGGATGTCCACCGATGCGACAACTAAGTTCTCATGTTTGCTCCGGGCCGCATTTAGTGCCGCATTTAACTTGAGGACATTGTGGGCAACCCCATCGAGACGTTTAAACCCGACCTGGTCTCGATGATTAGGTAAGGCTGCCTCAAACCGACTCGCAAGCACCCGATGAAATATTCGCACAAAGTAATTCCCGATGGCGATGGGACGGAATTCAAGGGCATCGCCAGGCACCTCCACCTTCTTGATGAAAGTCACCCGGGAGGTGAAGATGTTGCCAGCTTTGCCCCTGGTGGGCGGCGGTCCTTTAAGCAGTAGCAGATTATACAGAAAGGTGATGACCTCTACGGGTATCCCCCGCAAGATGTTAAGGCGGAGGCCATCAGGTCCTGGGGACGATTCTTTTAGAGATGCAATCACGGCAGCGACATCGGCCACCTTGATGGGCGCAGCTAGTTCGTTCAACGGCGGGCCGGGATGGTCTCCGGCCAGGTCCGCATAGCAGGGTCGTTCGAATACCGGCTTCCATTTGCGCAGAAAGTCCTCGTCGGAGAAGGCCCGTTCGGCAACAAGTCCCTCGTAGGAGAGGTCGCTGTCGAGGACCCGTTCGGCTACAGACTTCGGACTACGCTTATGGAGGTTCTGGAGGAAGTTATAGATTATGGCACGCTGGGCGCGCCTCCTCTTCACTCCCACCTTCACCGCCGGCATCGCCCGCCTGCTAACGGTCCTGTTCTTCGGGAAGAACTCATTATATAGTTTGGAGAAACCGTTGGGGTCACCGATGGCCTGTTTGGCCTTTTCCCGAACCACGGGGTCGGGGATGTTAGGAAGAATGCCGTATAAATAGTCGGATATTCCCTGTTCGGATTCTGTCATAGATCGCTCGTACGGCTGGGGCTCGGCCGTGACCTGCTCCTCGTCCGTCGGAGCCTGGGCCGCAGGTCCGACCGGTCCGGCCCTTTGGGCGACGAGACGCCGCCTTCTAGATCGGATGGCCTGGACAGTACGGCCAGGAAGGAGAGGGACCAGTTCGGCGTCCGGGACATCGCGTGGCGCCTGCTGGAGGACTTTGATCTCTTCAGCTGACCATTTGCGACCAGTCCTTCCTTTGGGGCTTTTGAGGTCTCCGCTGGTTGGGTGGTCGTTCCTGGGGCTGTCGGGAACCACTCGAGCCCGGCTACCGTCCGGGCCGGGACATTGGGCTTCGCTTTCAAGCGACTTCAGGATGGCTTTGTAGTCGTCCTTCTTCCGCCTGCAGCTGATCTGATCCCTAGTGCGTGCCAAAAAGGGAGTTAAGTACGAGTTCATGTGTTGCACGCCTTTGGACAACGCCTCGTGCTCTATCGCAGCCATACGCTCCAACTCCTCTCTCGTCCATCGAGCGTAGGTGCGGACGTTTGAGCGACGTGAGGCGTCGCGCCTTTTCTTAATGTCATTCCATTCTGCTGGGTGTTTCTTCCATATGTGGGTGGTTAGGCTGGATGCTCGCGTGAAAGCGCACGGACAAACAGGGCAGCTACAGCGGGGGGGCAAGTCTTCCGGATCGGCAAGGAAGTTTATAGAGTTTTTGGTGACCCACGTCTCGTGGGTGGAGGTCAAGGCTGATGTTTCATTATTAGTACCAAGTAAATCAATCTAAGGGGGATGGCAACCCCACAGAGATCGGCGCATTAAGGAAGCACGGGCACCCCACATTTAATGTCTGCGGCTGACGTCTGAGCTCTTAGCCAGCCCGGGGGCTGTTACCGGCGGGACCCGATGGGAGGGGGCCCAGCACCATTCCGCCCTCAAGGACCAGGGGCCCTTAAGAGAGTCATAGTTACTCCCGCCGTTTACCCGCGCTTGGTTGAATTTCTTCACTTTGACATTCAGAGCACTGGGCAGAAATCACATCGTGTCTGTACGGGTCGACCGGCCACACGATGCTTTGTTTTAATTAGACAGTCGGATTCCCCCCGGTCCGTACCAGTTCCGAGTCGACCGTTCGCTGCCGGACGAACGCCCCCACGCCGAGAGAGACGCTGAGCAACGGGCGGGACGGGCGCGCGTGCGAGCCGCCTGCGCGCGAACGCAGGTTGAGGCCTACACGCGCCGCTTACCCGAAGAGGGGCCGAAGCCGTGGCGCTCCACGAAGACCCGGGCGAGGAGCCGTTTTGCTCGCCGGCCGACGCGCCGGTAGCGACGGGGTGGCGCCGCGAGCGGAGACCCGTAGCGCATGCGACACGCGAGCCGCGCGAAACGGGAAAGGGGACAGAGAAGGGAGCGGAAGACGACGAGCGTAGGAAGCGGCGAAGAACGGGTTGACTCGGGGTTCGTGAACGACGCATCGCGCGCACAGACGGACGACCCGATATGAGCCGCCCAGCCAGATGCACGAACGCGAGCGCCCGTCGCCCCGACCCGAAAACCGCCGCCCCATGCCGCCGAACACCGCCTAGCCCGACCCTGCGACCCCCGACCCGAGCACGACCGCGACGCCGCGACGCCGACGGACCGCTACGACACCTTGAACCCGCGCCGCAAAGCGCGAACGGAGCGAACGCTACAGCCCCGTACCGGTTCCTCGCTTCGCGCGGGCACGGCCCGACCGACCCGGTCCTCGGAGCCAATCCTTCTTCCGAAGGTACGGATCCATTTTGCCGACTTCCCTTACCTACATTGATGCCATCGACGAGAGGCTGTACACCTTGGAGACCTGCTGCGGATGGTGGGTACGGACCGACTCGAGAGCTGCGAAAACCGGACCCGGATTTTCCAGGGCCGCCGAAAGCGCACCGGACGCCGCCCGAGCCGCGGCGCTCTACAGGTACCTTTTCCGTATCTCCGGACGAGCCGATTCCACGGACACGGTCCTTTACGAAGAAGAGAGAACTCTTCCCGGGGCTCTCGGCGACGTCTCCGGGCTCGCTTGCGTCACCGCGGTTTCGCCCTGAGAAGCGACGAGACGCCACCGACATTGCTGCCAGCAGCGCCGCCACCCCCGGGCACTCTCCGAGTCCGGGTTCGGGAATATTAACCCGATTCCCTTTCGACGGAAGGCCGGCCGCTCGTCCTTTGTTAGCGTCGTCGTTTTTGTTGTTTTCGAGGACAACAAACGAGTGTGACAGACTTACGGATCCGGCGCCTTTCGGGAAGACTTTCGCCTGCGTCTTAGGACCGACTGACCCGTGCTCGACCGCCGTTGGCACGGAACCCTTCTCCACTTCGGTCTTCGAAGGTCTCGTTCGAATATTTGCTACTACCACCGAGATCTGCACCCGCGGTCGGCTCCACCCGGGCTCGCGCCCTAGGCTTCCGTGCTCACCGCGGCGCCCTCCTACTCGTCGCGGCATCGGTCAGGCGCGCGCATCGTTTTCGTCAGCGCAAGCGCTCCTCGCCGCGACGGTCCGGCATCGGTCCGTCGCTCCAGCGCCATCCATTTTCGGGGCCGGTCGATTCGGCAGGTGAGTTGTTACACACTCCTTAGCGGATTCCGACTTCCGTGGCCACCGTCCTGCTGTCTATATCGACCGACACCCTTTCGGGGATCTCATGGGCGTCGCGTTAGGCACCTTAGCCGGACGTTTGGTTCATCCCACAGCGCCAGTTCTGCTTACCAAAAGTGGCCCACTTGGCACTCGCATTCGTTTCTGCCGCCGTCGAGACGACGAAGGCGGCAGAGAAGTGGGACGGCTCCGTATTCGGGAGAGTCGACCCGTTCCACCCGTTCCGAGTTCGAGAGTAGGTCGAGGCCGTGAACGGCCCCGGGGCCTCCAATCGTTCGCTTTACCGGATGGAATTGCGACGATCGAACGCCAGCTATCCTGAGGGAAACTTCGGAGGGAACCAGCTACTAGACGGCTCGATTGGTCTTTCGCCCCTACACCCGGTTCCGACGATCGATTTGCACGTCAGAGGCGCTTCGGACTTCCACCAGAGTTTCCTCTGGCTTCATCCCGACCGGGCGTGGATCGCCATCTTTCGGGTCCCTGGCCGCTCGCTACGCCAGAGTCGGCCGAGTCGTACTCGGAGAAAAAAATTACCGACCCGGGGGTGATGCGCCCGCGCGCAGCGCCTAAACTCGACGACCTAAATCGTGACTAGTTCAAGCCGCGGGATCTCACCGGTGGGCGGTGGGAGGAAAGTTTGAGGCTGCACCCCGCCGCGAACGAACCCCCGTGAGTTTTCCCCCCGCCACAAGCGCCCGAGCCCCCTGCGTCATCTCCCGGCGACGGGAAAATCGTGGAGGAACCGATACGGGACGGACGGAAGAAAAGAGGGAAACGAACGACGGGACGAAGACGGCAAGCGCCGGCGGAATCGGGCACGGCTAGGCAGGCGGAAGGAAGCGAGAAACTCCCCGCCGGAACCGCTTTCGCCGCGACACCTCTCCCAGAACCGGTGCCCTCCCACGCGCTCTCTCGCTTTCGCTGCGCCTTCGGGGTTCTTCGGGGCCCCTACGACTCGCGAACGGCCAGGACTCCTCGGTCCGTGTTTCAAGACGGGTCGGGTGGGTTGCCGATGCACGTCGCGGACCCGAGGTGACGGGCGGCACAGTGAGACGCCGACCTACCGCGCTGGCAGTGCCCTCCCGCGCGCCCAGATTTTGGCGTCCGGACGCGGAGAAGACGACGCGACGAGACGACGTCGCGCGCCGGCACGGGAATCGACGCGGCCGCGCCGGTTTCGAAGCTCCCGCGAACACTGTCCCGCGCGCGCCCGAGACGGTGGGGCGCCGAGGGCGCGCGAAGCGCCGCGCGGATCGTCCGACGAGAAGAAACCGGTTCGCCACGTGTAACGGATCGCGTTTTCGTTTCCTCCGTCCCCGGCAGAAGGGGGCAGTACGCTCGCGGGCCCGACAGAAGACGCCTCCGCCCCCCCCGACAAGCAGGTGGGGTGGAGTTTAGAGTGCGCCTTCCGCCTACGGACACCGCGCGTCGACCTGCACGCCGGGAACGGGTCGCGACGACGGACCGGAGGGGAAGTGCGTCCGGTGCCGGCCGTGCGGAATGTGAGCGTCGCGCCGAAGCGCCCGCGCCATATGATGCCGAGCGAAGGAAAGGTGCGGGTGATCGCGAGGAATGGAGAGGAGGAGCCACGACGGCAGCGACGGCGGCCACGGCGGCAGCAGCAGCAGCAGCGACGCGAATCGCCGCCACAGCGGCGGCAGCAGCGACAGCGGCGACCGCCGCGCTCTCCTCGTTCCCCGCGGCCCGTCTCTCCCGTCGGCGACGCGAGCGCAAAAGCAGAATCCGGAGGGCGTCGAGGTCGAGTTGCCGGCGGCAGAGCTGCCGACAAACTGCGTTCCCCCGCCGGTGACCCCCAGAACGACGTCCGCGCCGGCCTGAGATGGGCGCCGCCGCCCGAGCGAAGCCCGGGCAACAACCAAATCGAGTTTGGGCCACGTTCGGCAGCACCGGACTGAGTCCCCCCGCGATCGCGGTGAGCGGTCCCACCCGTTTACCCCTGGGCGGTTTCACGTTCTCTTGAACTCTCTCCAAAGTTCTTTTCAACTTTCCCTCACGGTACTTGTCGACTATCGGACTCGTCCCGGTATTTAGCCTTGGATGGAGCTTACCACCCGATTTGGGCTGCGTTCCCAAGCAACCCGACTCTCGGATCGAAGGCCGTCGCTCGCCGTCCGCACCGAATGGGCCTGGCACCCGCCGCGGGCGGCCCCGATCGAGGGAACTCCGAACTACGCGAGACGAAAACGAGCGGCTGCCTTCGACCCATGCGCCACACGTCCCGAAGCCTTTTACTTGCGACGGGATTCGGCGTTGGGCTTCTCCCGGTTCACTCGCCGTTACTAAGGGAATCCCGGTTGGTTTCTTTTCCTCCGCTTAGCGATATGCTTAAGTTCAGCGGGTCGTCTCGTCCGAGCCGAGGGCGGCGGTGTTTGAGGTAAGACAGCAAAACGCGACCACGCACTGTGACGGCAGAATACGGCGGCGGCGGCGGCACAGACTGGCTTCGAGACGCCCAAGGTTTGTATTTCGACCTCCGAGAGCGAAACGATGGTGCTACCACTGTTGCTGTTTGCGCGTGGCCGTAGTCAACGTTTTGCAATCTAGGACTGCTCGCGGTCGTAAGGGAAGCGACCCCGCGGTCTTCAAGCGGGAGACGAAGGAGGAGAAAATTGAAGCAGCAGGCTCCTCCTGCGACGTCCCGGTTTCCTCCGCGTAAGAAACGGGCAATTCTTTCATGAAGAAAGAACGACGCGGTGGACGGTGAGATGCCTCTCGACTATCAAGTGAGAAGACATGCCATTTTCCGCCTCTCGACCGGACGGGGCCCCGAGACAAGGGATCTCGAGGCCGCAATGTGCGTTCGAGGTGTCGATGTTCACTGAGTCCTGCAATTCGCATCAGTTCTCGCGGCTGGCCGCGCTCTTCATCGACGGACGAGCCGAGTGATCCCCGTCCAGGGTTTTGTTTTGGTTAGTTTTTTTTTTTCGTGACAGGTTTAAAAAAAAAAAATGTGTGCGAGGAGAAGCAAGGAGGCCGAGTTGATACGCGCGCGACCGAGACGGTAGCAGTCCACAGCAGACTGGCACCCCGGCAACCACCACAAATTTGTCGGGGACATAGACGGCGGCCAGGACCGTACACGTGACCACGTCGACGTCGGCGGGAGACGGAGGCTGGTCGGCGGCATCCGTCTCGCGATCGTGGCCGGCGGTAGCGGCAGCGCTCCTCGAATCGCGTGCGCATCTATCCGAACTCGACCTCCCCGCACAGGGACGTAGAGGCGGCAGCAACGGCGGCGGCGGCGGCGGCGGCGGTACGTGAAACGGGACGGCTGGACGTAATACGGCTGGAGACGGGCGCCCGTCTCGCGCAGAGAGCAGAGGATATTTTTTGTCGGACGAGTAGGGAGGAGGAGCATCATCAGCAGCAGCAGACGCAAGGAGGCGAGGCCGTCCATGCGACGGTGGCGCGGCCATTTTTTTGACTGCTGCCGCGAAACGAGCGCAAGCTTCCCCCCAACCCTGTTTCGCCGACGAATAACGTGCTACCCGCGACCGACCAGTCGTGACGGCGGCGGTCTCTTGACGGCGGTACACGCCGCTCGCTTGTTACGAGTCCCAACCGACGAGTCGTCTCCCAAATATACGGCGGGGAGATAGCGAACTCGACGGCGTTTCGAAAACGAACGGACACGACGACATGCGCGGAGTCATCGATAATGATCCTTCCGCAGGTTCACCTACGGAAACCTTGTTACGACTTTTACTTCCTCTAAACGATCGGGTTCGGTCGTCTTCTCCAGGCATCGAACGCCGAGGCGAGTACGACACGCGCGTGAAACGGCGGCGGAGACCGCAGCCGCTGCGCCACGTGCACGCTGCCCGGCGGCGTCGTCGGCCAGATCCGAGGACCTCACCGGACCGTTCGATCGGTAGTAGCGACGGGCGGTGTGTACAAAGGGCAGGGACGTGATCGACGCGGGCTGTTGACCCGCGCCTACCGGGAATTCCTCGTTCACGGGGTTGGTTACAGGCCCCGATCCCTATCACGGAGGTGGTTAAGAGGTTTCCCGACCCTCTCGGGCCGGGGCGAAGTCCCCGCTGATACCTCCAGTGTAGCGCGCGTGCGGCCCCGGACATCTAAGGGCATCACAGACCTGTTATCGCTCCGCCTCGTGTGGCTTTCTGCCACCCGTCCCTCTAAGAAGTGCGTGAGAAAACCGACCCGGACCCGGGCGCTGCGATGAACGCCGAGCCCGCCGTTGAATAAACACACACATCGGCGCACTAGTTAGCAGGCCGGAGTCTCGTTCGTTATCGGAATCAACCAGACGGATCGCTCCACCAACTAAGAACGGCCATGCACCACCACCCACCGAATCGAGAAAGAGCTATCGATCTGTCAATCCTACCGGTGTCCGGACCGGGTGAGTTTTCCCGTGTTGAGTCAAATTAAGCCGCAGGCTCCACTCCTGGTGGTGCCCTTCCGTCAATTCCTTTAAGTTTCAGCTTTGCAACCATACTCCCCCGGAACCGAACTCTGGTTTCCCGCAGGCTACCCGCCGGGTCATGGAAGCGAACGCCGGCGGATCGCCGGTCGGCATCGTTTACGGTCGGAACTACGACGGTATCTGATCGTCTTCGAACCTCCGACTTTCGCTCTTGATCGAGGAAAACGTGCTTGCCACACGCCATCGCTGCAGTTCGTCTTGCGACGATCCAAGAATTTCACCTCTAACGTCGCAATACGAGTGGCCCTGACCGCTCCCTTCGATCATTGCCTCGCCGTAGACGGAGACCGACAGACGTAGACGAGGCCCTCTTCCATCATTCCATGCTTATCGTATGCAAGCTTGAACAGCCCGCTCTGAGCACTCTAATTTTTTCAAAGTGAACGTACCGGCCGCCGCGGACACTCGGTCAAGAGCACCCTTGGAGGAGAAACCGCCGACCGCGCACGCGCGCAAAACAGACGCGAAGATTAGACGCGGAGGTAGGTAGAGCAGGGCCCGAGGGTAGACTGGAGGACGAGAGGGGAAGAGGAGGCCACCGCCGCGCGGAAAGAACAGCGGCAGGGAAGCCCGCGGCGACAACGCGAGACGGAGCGACGCGACGCACGCCCTTTAGGCGACGACGGCGACGCAGACGACGAGTGAACGCCGCTGGCCGCCGCCGACAGGGAGAAACGCCGCGTTGGACCGCACCGCCTTTTGACCGCGCGCGCCGGAACGACCCCGGCGCCGCTGCACCGCAGACGGCGACGCTCGCAGGAACCCCCCACGCAACCTCCGCGGCAAACCCGCCGGAAACACCTACTACTCCCCCGCGTAACTTCGCCGGCAGGACCGCGTGGCGGATGTGCAAGCGGTTGACACCGGCGGAAAGGGCCGGGAATGCGCACGGACGACCAAAGTCAACGACGGACGATGGCGCCGCCGCCCCGGGGCCGCGAACGCGACCACGAACCCGAGTTCGGACTACGAGCTTTTTAACCGCAACAACTTTAATATACGCTACCGGAGCTGGAATTACCGCGGCTGCTGGCACCAGACTTGCCCTCCGGTTGGTCCTCGTTAACGGATTTGAAGTGTACTCATTCCGATCGCGGGGCCTCGACAGAGTCCCGCGTCGTTATTTTTCGTCACTACCTCCCCGTGCCGGGAGTGGGTAATTTGCGCGCCTGCTGCCTTCCTTGGATGTGGTAGCCGTTTCGCATGCTCCCTCTCCGGAATCGAACCCCGATTCCCCGTTACCCGTAGTAACCACGGTAGGCACTTAACCGACCGTCGACAGTTGATAGGGCGGACCCTCGAGAGACCCGTCGCCAGGCGTGAAAGCCAGTGCGATCGACCAGTGAGTTATCCAGAGTCACCAAAGCGGAGCGCGCCGCCCTTTGGCCCCGCCGCGAAACGCCGCCGCCGACCGCCGCTCAAGGCGACAGTGACGACAACGACGACCACGACGAGAGGACGGAATGACGCGCATCGGTCTCAGTCTAATATGTAGCGCCGCGACCCGTAACGGTCGACGCGGGTGCCCACGCGCGTGACGGCACGCAGGCGACGGCGACGCGCCGACCGATCGCGGCCTGTGTCACATGTATTAGCTCTAGAATTGCCACAGTTATCCATCGCCTCCGAGGAGGATTACGGTCCCGAGGATTAGGTCCGGTTCCTGAGCCATTCGCGGTTTCGCCCGTTCTAATGCGTGGCGTGAACTTACACTTGCATGGCTTAAGCTTTGAGACAAGCATATGACTACTGGCAGGATCAACCAGGTATCGTTCTTTTTCGTGCGCGCGTTCGTCTCCTCGCCAACGGCAAACGGCGAAGACGGAACGCTGGTCGGGAGGCGGAGGTGCGGGGCGCTACGCTGCCGACGCTGCTTTTCTTTCGGCGGCTAGTCTGGCGTGCGTAAGACGGAAGAAGCGGGTCTTTTACGACACCATCCTAAGCGGCAGCGACGGCGGCGACGGCGGCGGCGGCGGCGGACCTCCCGGCTTTGATCGTTAAAAAGACGTTTCATTTTACGGCGCTTTCACGTCTTTCGCGTCGTCCACACACGGCGCCGGCGTGAGAGACACGAAGTCGGTGATAGCCGAAGGAGAGACGAGAAGGCTACGGGGACGCTATGCAACGACGGCCACGACGACAGTTTCCACCGAATACCGAAGGAGGAGCGAATAACAAACGGAAACGAAGACGTTCACCAGCACCGGTCGAACGAGCTAGTGTTCCGGGAAGAGGTCGCCATTTCACCGACGAGCTGTGGCCGCGTGTCTCGCGACGAAGGCCAGCCAGATGGTGGTAGACAAAAGGCTGCGGCGGCGGCGGCGGCGGCGGACGAGGGCGACTACAGCAAGAAGGCGGTCGGTAGATGAAGGCGGGCGACACCCAAAACTTTCGACTGCGCCGAGACGGTGACTGGACGTCTAGGAATTGCGTGGAGAATAGACCCGTTAGTAGCGGACCGAAAGTGTGGCAGGAGCCTGCGAAGGCGGCGGCGGCGGCGGCGGCGGGTGATGGACGAACAGACGTTCGACGTCCCCGGGCTCTCCACCAGCAGCATCACCACCGCGTTAGACGGGCATACACGGCGATGTGACGGCGGCGGCGATGAAGAACCTCGCCAAGCAGGCTTTACGGTGTCTGTCGCGACGAACGAGGTACTACCCTGACGGAGGCGGCGGCGGCGGCGGCGGCATCGCGGATAGAGATGGACAGATCTTCGCGATACGTACACGGTCCGTCTATCTGTTTTCCCGACGCGTAAGCGAGCAGCCAAGACACGCGGGAAGAACAGGCACTCGGCGGCGGCAATTCGATTCGTGACCGACGAAACGACATCCTGGGAGGCGGCGGGCAAACGATGAAAGTGTCGCGGGCGCGCGCGCACACACACGACAGCGCTTTCGAACACTCCTCATTCCTGATCGCATTACAAACGAACAAGTCCGATTCGAGCACCGAGTCGCAAGGACGTTCGACGCAAGTATCGATCACTGAAACGAGCGATTGGAAGGGACACAAGGATTACTCCTCGACATGTCTCCTTCGACCGAAATGATCTCCGGGCTTGGACATGCACGACGGGAAATGCGGACGGCAAACGACAAATAATCGACAAGCACGGGACCAGACAAAAGCAACGGACGACACCGACCAGGGGGACAACAGACAACTTCAACATCGACGCGTAGCTAACGGCGATAATACGGCGATGATACGGCGGCGGCGGCGGCGGCGTTATCGGCGGCGAGTGGTTCGACATAGCCGGCACTAGAAGAAACACTAAGACGGCGGCCAACCGGCAAAACGCACGCGCACAAAACGACCGTCAGAAAACGCGATGTTTCAGCTGCAAAGGCGGCGGCTGTGTCAAAGGCGGCGGCGGCGGCGGTGGTGTCAAAGGCGGCGGCTGCTAATGCTGATGACCATGCGAACGCGTTCACGGATGAAATATCCGACCTTGGTGCCATCAACCGGCGAACGGAAGTCGAAAAAGTTGTGTCGAAAGATTCTTCGGTAGGGAATGCGGTACGCGAAGAAAAAGTGACGACGCACGAGTGTTGGCAGCACTGTACCCCACATCTGCCTGCCGAAACACGATGGGCCTTTACGATGTACGGCGAGCGATAAAGGGTTACATCTGAAGCAGAGACAGATGCGGCGAGGGAGCGAGCCAAGAGGTTTGTCCTGGAGTAGAGTATTCGAACAGTTCCTATAGAGACCGATAATCGCGAGAGAAGGCGGCGGCGTTCTCCTAGGAGGATTGTGCGAATACGCTTTCCTACTCCGAAGGAATGCCGGCCAAGGCGAAATCGACTTAGGCGGCATGACGGCGTTAGGGAGCGCGGTGGTAAGAAGAACAAAAGAAGTCATGGATAAGCGAAAGTTGAGGCAAAAGCGAGAGAAAACAAACATAATACGCGTGGCAGCGAAAGGCTGAGGCCTAAGCCACCGCGAGGCGCAAAGTTGCCGTCTCCGCGACGCTAACCGGACAAGCTCGAACTTCCTACCAACTTATTCTTTGAAACCTGTTCGTGTAACAACCTTTGCTTTTTTGCAAAATTTCATACTATTTAATATGAAAACTATACAAAAAGCTTAGAAATGACATAAAAACAATAATCAATAGGTTTAATTTGAAATTCGAATTTTATTTTTTGAATTTTTTCCAAAAAATCGAAAATCGCAACTTAGTCAAAAAATTAATTTCGCCGATCACTGCCGAGGCGGGCGACGCGCGTCCGGCTACGGCAAACGAAGGCCTTCTACGGAACTGCGCACTTACCTTCTAAGGCGCATTACGGGAGTCAGGCTACGGCAAACGAAGGCCACCGAAATACTTAGGCACTAGTTTGAGCTAGTGGTCCCATGACCGCTGTCCAGGCACGATGTACGTCCGGCTACGGTAAACGAAGGCCTTCGACGAACTTAGGCATTTAACGATTCTACTGGACTTACGCACATGTCTCTTAAGGCGCATTACGGGAGTCCGGCTACGGCAAACGAAGGCCTTCGACAAAATTACGCACTTACCTTCTAAGGCGCATTACGGGAGTCCGGCTACGGTAAACGAAGGCCACCGAACTTAGGCACTAGTTCGGGCTAGTGGTCCCATGACCACTGTTCAGGCACGACGCACGTCCGGCTACGGCAAACGAAGGCATTCGACGAACTTAGGCATTTAACGATTCTACGGGACTTACGCACATGCCTCGTAATGCGCATTACGGGAGTCCGGCTACGGCAAACGAAGGCCTTCTACGGGACTTACGCACATGCCTCTTAAGGCGCATTACGGGAGTCCGGCTACGGTAAACGAAGGCCTTCGACAAAATTACGCACTTTACGCACTTACCTTCTAAGGCGCATTACGGGGAGTCCGGCTACGGTAAACGAAGGCCACCGAACTTAGGCACTACTTCGGGCTAGTGGTCCCATGACCACTGTTCAGGCACGACGCACGTCCGGCTACGGCAAACGAAGGCATTCGACGAACTTAGGCATTTAACGATTCTACGGGACTTACGCACATGCATCGTAATGCGCATTACGGGAGTCCGGCTACGGCAAACGAAGGCCTCCTACTTCTCCTTCCACGGGACTTTACGCACGTGGTGCCTCGTAAGGCGCAGTGCGGGGAGTCCGGCTACGGCAAACGGAAGGCCGTCGACGAATCGACGCCACTTACCGCACGGCAGCAGGAGTACCGGCTGTCGCCGTCTCTTGCTGTGTCGTCGTCGTCGTCGTCGTCGTCGCCCGACACTTCCTCTCCGCCGCGCCACCGGGCCGTCCGTCCGGCCGCTCTCTCTTTCAGTCTTTAGCAGACGAATGCGGTTCGTGTAACAACCTTTGCTTTTTTGCAAAATTTCATACTGTCCGATACAGAAACTATACAAGAAGCTTAGAAATCACATAGAAACAACAATCAATAGGTTCAGTTTGATATTCGAATTTTATTTTTGAATTTTTCCCAAAAAACCGAAAATCGTAACTTCGTCCGAAAAGTAATTTCGCCGATCGCTGCCGAGGCGGGCGACGCGCGTCCGGCTACGGCAAACGAAGGCATTCGACGAACTTGGGCATTTAACGATTCTACGGGACTTACGCACGGAGCAAGCTATCAGCTCGCTTGCGGCAGTCGGAAAGCGAACGAAAGAACGCGCGCTTCGTCATCATCGCTTTGCTGTTCGGACACTTGCGAGATGACGAGGCATCTGCTCACAACTTAAGTCAGTAACAGTTACATCCGCCGTTTACCCGACTTTGGTCGGTCGGTCGGTTCATTTGAGAAAATCTCGTGCTAGGCAGTGCGGAGACGACACGACGGCAACGACTCTACAAGGACTTAGGCACATGCCTCTTAAGGCGCATTACGGGAGTCCGGCTACGGTGAACGAAGGGGCCGCCTTCTACGGGACTTACGCACATGCCTCTTAAGGCGCAGTACGGGAGTCCGGCTACTACGGCAAACGAAGGCCTTCGACAAAACTACGCACTTTACGCACTTACCTTCTGAGGCGCATGACGGGAGTCCGGCTACGGTAAACGAAGGCCACCGACGCAGCACTTCGGCACTACTTCGGGCTAGTGGACCCATCACCACTGTCCGGGCACGACACACGTCCGGCTACGGCAAACGAAGGCATTCGACGAACTTGGGCATTTAACGATTCTACGGAAGTTACGCACATGCCTCTTAGGGCGCATTACGGGAGTCCGGCTACGGCAAACGAAGGCCTCCTCCTTCTCCTTCCACGGGACTTTACGCACGTGGTGCCTCGTAAGGCGCAGTGCGGGAGTCCGGCTACGGCAAACGGAAGGCCGTCGACGAATCGACGCCACTTACCGCACGGCAGCAGGAGTACCGGCTGTCGCCGTCGCTTGCTGTGCTGTGTCGTCGTCGTCGTCGTCGTCGTCGTCGTCGTCGTCGCCCGACACTTCCTGTCCGCCGCGCCACCGGCCGTCCGTCCGTCCGTCCGTCCGTCCGGCCGCTCTCTCTTTCAGTCTTTAGCAGACGAATGCGGTTCGTGTAACAACCTTTGCTTTTTGCAAAATTTCATACTGTCCGATACAGAAACTATACAAGAAGCTTAGAAATCACATAGAAACAACAATCAATAGGTTCAGTTTGATATTCGAATTTTATTTTTGAATTTTCCCAAAAAACCGAAAATCGTAACTTCGTCCGAAAAGTAATTTCGCCGATCGCTGCCGAGGCGGGCGACGCGCGTCCGGCTACGGCAAACGAAGGCCTCCTTCTAAGGCGCAACGGGAACTACGCACTTACCTTCTAAGGCGCATTACGGGAGTCCGGCTACGGTCGACAAAACGAAGGCCACCGAACTTAGGCACCTGTTCGGGCTAGTGGTCCCATGACCACTGTTCAGGCACGACGCACGTCCGGCTACGGCAAACGAAGGCATTCGACGAACTTAGGCATTTAACGATTCTACGGGGACTTACGCACATGCCTCGTAATGCGCATTACGGGAGTCCGGCTACGGCAAACGAAAAGGCCTTCTACGGGACTTACGCACATGCCTCTTAAGGCGCATTACGGGAGTCCGGCTACGGTAAACGAAGGCCTTCGACAAAATTACGCGCACTTTACGCACTTACCTTCTAAGGCGCATTACGGGAGTCCGGCTACGGTAAACGAAGGCCACCGAACTTAGGCACTACTTTCGGGCTAGTGGTCCCATGACCACTGTTCAGGCACGACGCACGTCCGGCTACGGCAAACGAAGGCATTCGACGAACTTAGGCATTTAACGATTCTACGGGACTTACGCACATGCATCGTAATGCGCATTACGGGAGTCCGGCTACGGCAAACGAAGGCCTCCTACTTCTCCTTCCACGGGACTTTACGCACGTGGTGCCTCGTAAGGCGCAGTGCGGGAGTCCGGCTACGGCAAACGGAAGGCCGTCGACGAATCGACGCCACTTACCGCACGGCAGCAGGAGTACCGGCTGTCGCCGTCTCTTGCTGTGCGTCGTCGTCGTCGTCGTCGTCGTCGTCGCCCGACACTTCCTCTCCGCCGCGCCACCGGGCCGGCCGTCCGTCCGTCCGCCGCTCTCTTTCAGTCTTTAGCAGACGAATGCGGTTCGTGTAACAACCTTTGCTTTTTTGCAAAATTTCATACTGTCCGATACAGAAACTATACAAGAAGCTTAGAAATCACATAGAAACAACAATCAATAGGTTCAGTTTGATATTCGAATTTTACTACGCACTTTTTTGAATTTTTCCCGAAAAAAACCGAAAATCGTAACTTCGTCCGAAAAGTAATTTCGCCGATCGCTGCCGAGGCGGGCGACGCGCGTCCGGCTACGGCAAACGAAGGCATTCGACGAACTTGGGCATTTAACGATTCTACGGGACTTACGCACGGAGCAAGCTATCAGCTCGCTTGCGGCAGTCGGAAAGCGAACGAAAGAACGCGCGCTTCGTCATCATCGCTTTGCTGTTCGGACACTTGCGAGATGACGAGGCATCTGCTCACAACTTAAGTCAGTAACAGTTACATCCGCCGTTTACCCGACTTTGGTCGGTCGGTCGGTTCATTTGAGAAAATCTCGTGCTAGGCAGTGCGGAGACGACACGACGGCAACGACTCTACAAGGACTTAGGCACATGCCTCTTAAGGCGCATTACGGGAGTCCGGCTACGGTGAACGAAGGGGGCCGCCTTCTACGGGACTTACGCACATGCCTCTTAAGGCGCAGTACGGGAGTCCGGCTACTACGGCAAACGAAGGCCTTCGACAAAACTACGCACTTTACGCACTTACCTTCTGAGGCGCATGACGGGAGTCCGGCTACGGTAAACGAAGGCCACCGACGCAGCACTTCGGCACTACTTCGGGCTAGTGGACCCATCACCACTGTCCGGGCACGACACACGTCCGGCTACGGCAAACGAAGGCATTCGACGAACTTGGGCATTTAACGATTCTACGGAAGTTACGCACATGCCTCTTAGGGCGCATTACGGGAGTCCGGCTACGGCAAACGAAGGCCTCCTACTTCTCCTTCCACGGGACTTTACGCACGTGGTGCCTCGTAAGGCGCAGTGCGGGAGTCCGGCTACGGCAAACGGAAGGCCGTCGACGAATCGACGCCACTTACCGCACGGCAGCAGGAGTACCGGCTGTCGCCGTCGCTTGCTGTGCTGTCGTCGTCGTCGTCGTCGTCGTCGCCCGACACTTCCTGTCCGCCGCGCCACCGGGCCGTCCGTCCGTCCGTCCGTCCGTCCGGCCGCTCTCTCTTTCAGTCTTTAGCAGACGAATGCGGTTCGTGTAACAACCTTTGCTTTTTTGCAAAATTTCATACTGTCCGATACAGAAACTATACAAGAAGCTTAGAAATCACATAGAAACAACAATCAATAGGTTCAGTTTGATATTCGAATTTTATTTTTTGAATTTTTCCCAAAAAAACCGAAAATCGTAACTTCGTCCGAAAAGTAATTTCGCCGATCGCTGCCGAGGCGGGCGACGCGCGTCCGGCTACGGCAAACGAAGGCCTCCTTCTAAGGAACTACGCACTTACCTTCTAAGGCGCATTACGGGAGTCCGGCTACGGTAAACGAAGGCCACCGAACTTAGGCACTAGTTCGGGCTAGTGGTCCCATGACCACTGTTCAGGCACGACGCACGTCCGGCTACGGCTACAGGCAAACGAAGGCATTCGACGAACTTAGGCATTTAACGATTCTACGGGACTTACGCACATGCCTCGTAATGCGCATTACGGGAGTCCGGCTACGGCAAACGAAGGCCTTCTACGGGACTTACGCACATGCCTCTTAAGGCGCATTACGGGAGTCCGGCTACGGTAAACGAAGGCCTTCGACAAAATTACGCACTTTACGCACTTACCTTCTAAGGCGCATTACGGGAGTCCGGCTACGGTAAACGAAGGCCACCGAACTTAGGCACTACTTCGGGCTAGTGGTCCCATGACCACTGTTCAGGCACGACGCACGTCCGGCTACGGCAAACGAAGGCATTCGACGAACTTAGGCATTTAACGATTCTACGGGACTTACGCACATGCATCGTAATGCGCATTACGGGAGTCCGGCTACGGCAAACGAAGGCCTCCTACTTCTCCTTCCACGGGACTTTACGCACGTGGTGCCTCGTAAGGCGCAGTGCGGGAGTCCGGCTACGGCAAACGGAAGGCCGTCGACGAATCGACGCCACTTACCGCACGGCAGCAGGAGTACCGGCTGTCGCCGTCTCTGCTGTGCTGTCGTCGTCGTCGTCGTCGTCGCCCGACACTTCCTCTCCGCCGCGCCACCGGGCCGTCCGTCCGGCCGCTCTCTCTTTCAGTCTTTAGCAGACGAATGCGGTTCGTGTAACAACCTTTGCTTTTTTGCAAAATTTCATACTGTCCGATACAGAAACTATACAAGAAGCTTAGAAATCACATAGAAACAACAATCAATAGGTTCAGTTTGATATTCGAATTTTATTTTTGAATTTTTCCCAAAAAACCGAAAATCGTAACTTCGTCCGAAAAGTAATTTCGCCGATCGCTGCCGAGGCGGGCGACGCGCGTCCGGCTACGGCAAACGAAGGCATTCGACGAACTTGGGCATTTAACGATTCTACGGGACTTACGCACGGAGCAAGCTATCAGCTCGCTTGCGGCAGTCGGAAAGCGAAAAGAACGCGCGCTTCGTCATCATCGCTTTGCTGTTCGGACACTTGCGAGATGACGAGGCATCTGCTCACAACTTAAGTCAGTAACAGTTACATCCGCCGTTTACCCGACTTTGGTCGGTCGGTCGGTTCATTTGAGAAAATCTCGTGCTAGGCAGTGCGGAGACGACACGACGGCAACGACTCTACAAGGACTTAGGCACATGCCTCTTAAGGCGCATTACGGAGTCCGGCTACGGTGAACGAAGGGGCCGCCTTCTACGGGACTTACGCACATGCCTCTTAAGGCGCAGTACGGGAGTCCGGCTACTACGGCAAACGAAGGCCTTCGACAAAACTACGCACTTTACGCACTTACCTTCTGAGGCGCATGACGGGAGTCCGGCTACGGTAAACGAAGGCCACCGACGCAGCACTTCGGCACTACTTCGGGCTAGTGGACCCATCACCACTGTCCGGGCACGACACACGTCCGGCTACGGCAAACGAAGGCATTCGACGAACTTGGGCATTTAACGATTCTACGGAAGTTACGCACATGCCTCTTAGGGCGCATTACGGGAGTCCGGCTACGGCAAACGAAGGCCTCCTACTTCTCCTTCCACGGGACTTTACGCACGTGGTGCCTCGTAAGGCGCAGTGCGGGAGTCCGGCTACGGCAAACGGAAGGCCGTCGACGAATCGACGCCACTTACCGCACGGCAGCAGGAGTACCGGCTGTCGCCGTCGCTTGCTGTGCTGTCGTCGTCGTCGTCGTCGTCGTCGTCGCCCGACACTTCCTGTCCGCCGCGCCACCGGGCCGTCCGTCCGTCCGTCCGTCCGTCCGGCCGCTCTCTCTTTCAGTCTTTAGCAGACGAATGCGGTTCGTGTAACAACCTTTGCTTTTTTGCAAAATTTCATACTGTCCGATACAGAAACTATACAAGAAGCTTAGAAATCACATAGAAACAACAATCAATAGGTTCAGTTTGATATTCGAATTTTATTTTTTGAATTTTTCCCAAAAAAACCGAAAATCGTAACTTCGTCCGAAAAGTAATTTCGCCGAATTTCGCCGATCGCTGCCGAGGCGGGCGACGCGCGTCCGGCTACGGCAAACGAAGGCCTCCTTCAGAAGGAACTACGCACTTACCTTCTAAGGCGCATTACGGGAGTCCGGCTACGGTAAACGAAGGCCACCGACGCACTTTCGGCACTAGTTCGGGCTAGTGGTCCCATGACCACTGTTCAGGCACGACACACGTCCGGCTACGGCAAACGAAGGCATTCGACGAACTTACGGGCATTTAACGATTCTACGGGACTTACGACACATGCCTCGTAATGCGCATTACGGGAGTCCGGCATTTACGGCAAACGAAGGCCTTCTACGGGACTTACGCACATGCCTCTTAAGGCGCATTACGGGAGTCCGGCTACGGTAAACGAAGGCCTTCGACAAAATTACGCATGCCTTTACGCACTTAGGCCTTCTAAGGCGCATTACTGAGGGAGTCCGGCTACGGTAAACGAAGGCCACCGAACTTCGGCACTACTTCGGGCTAGTGGACCCATGACCACTGTTCGGGCACGACGCACGTCCGGCTACGGCAAACGAAGGCATTCGACGAACTTAGGCATTTAACGATTCTACGGGACTTACGCACATGCATCTTAGGGCGCATTACGGGAGTCCGGCTACGGCAAACGAAGGCCTCCTACTTCTCCTTCCACGGGACTTTACGCACGTGGTGCCTCGTAAGGCGCAGTGCGGGAGTCCGGCTACGGCAAACGGAAGGCCGTCGACGAATCGACGCC